GCAGGTTTTACGATACCCCTTTTGCTTTTGACCCAAAAACAAAGTCCAGTTTGACCCCGAACCATCAGGGCCGGGCTCTGCCTACAAGTAACGGGCGCCCCCGGCAATTTTAGCATTCACATTAACAAGGGGACGATACTTAGTGTCCGTAGCTTTTTGCAATCAAATGTATACCAGTACATTCGTCTTCGAACAATGATTCCGAAACTGACTTCCGCTTCTGCTAATCATTTTCTAAAAAAGTCATGAAGGATTTTCGCGCCAAGTTTGGCCGCGAGATATGATAGGAACACCAATACGGTAAGTTCTCGTTTAGTTCCTGGTGCGATGGCCTAGCTTATTCCAAAGTGCCTATAAGAAAATGAAGGAAAAATGAATGCATGTTAAATTTTGCCTTGGTGTTTTGGCGTTCCTATCGTATTTTCCTCGGGCGGCCAAACTTGAGACGGTAATCCTTTGTAACTTCTTTCAACGAAACGATTAGCAGAAACGGAAATTAGATCCGCTACCGTTCCAAGACGAGTATAATGGTATGCATCGTATCAAAAAGCCACGGACACTAAGCATGTTTCCTTGTAAGAAGAGGAAAGTTATTTGATATTTCTCGAATACTACCGCTCGAAATAGGCTTAAAATCTGCAGTCCACCTTCCGCAGTAATTTTTCACTTCGGGATGCAGCGTGACCAAGGCAGTCTTAGTTGAGGGTTAAGCATTGTAATGTTTCGAAATCGGCCCGACCCCTAATTCAGGCGAATGGTGCGTTTAGCTGCCAGATGTGCAGATGCTGGTGCTGATGATAAGTGAGAAATGGTAAGCGATTGTTTTCGAGTCACTTTACAGTGTATCGAAACTCACAAGAGAACCACTTCCACTTTGTTCACAACAGTTATAAAGAGATACGGTAAACATTGAAAACGTGCAGACAGGAAATTTATACGAAAACATGCCTTCTGCTGAACTTGATGTGGTGAACACTTGTGTCACTGGCGATGGATACGATTTCGATCGAATCGGTTGCGTATCGCTTTGTTCTTCTTCTTCCGCTGCATCCTCATCGTCTCCGTCGACGATGTCTTTATCTGAACCCTCGTCATCACTGCTGTTCACTAAACCAGAACGGAATGTGTTGTGCGAACTTGCGGTGCCGAGAAACGTTCACAGGCATAGCAACACTTTGTGATACAGTAGAAATAGTGCTTATATAGATGTACGCGTGAAAGATGACGTCACAGACAAAAAGTGACCAATCACAGGATAGGAGGCGACAGTAGCCAATCAGGAAGTCAAGTTTTCGTTAGCGGGTCAGTGGTTACTGTTTTTGCGGATTAATATGTTAGCGATACTTGCTGTTAGTATACTTGCTAGTAATTTATCACCCATACAAAAGTTAGTAAAAAAATTAAGAGAAACAGAGGAATCATGTTGCTCACCTTCTTGTATAGCATTTGTGTACAAATATTTTTGCTCGGATTCTAAAAAAAATAGGTTCTTCTTAATTTACGCAAAAGACAAAGATCATATAATTCTTACCTGCAACATCAATATCAGCAAAGTGAATGCCGTTATCATTTCGAGCTGTACATCGATAATTGCCATAATGTTCTTTAGTTACCCGTCGAATCTCAAGCACATGCACATTGTGGTATTGTCCGGATACGGTCTGGGATTGGAAAGTCAAAAGATAATTCTACCTCGGTTTGTATGTGCACGAAAAGAAGATTTCATAGTACTATCAAACTACCCGAGTTTAATCCAGTTTTGCCCAAAGATGGAGAGTATAACATTTGTGCTTGCAATATAGGTTCAATGGTAGGATTACGGTAAGCAG